CCCCCCCCCCCCCTCCTCAAAGCCATAGAGAGAATTTTCCCATACCAGAAGGAATAGATAGAATGAGAGAGAAGTGACTAGGTAGGGCTTTGTGCTGCAGGGTAGCGCTAACTAGAAAGTATATCCAGAAGGGTGGGGAAGAGAGAGAAAGGGAAAGGAAAGAGAATTCAAAGTGAAGAGAGGTGTGACTGAGAGAGGGGTGTTGTTAGTGGTTTCCCTTTTTAACTTTGTGGTGAACTTGATTTTATCTATCTGTTTTTAGTCCCTCTCGAAATTTAATCACCGGGGATTTCCGCTATTTAAATAAAGAAAACCTAGTGATAAAGGAATGGAGGTAGTCGAGGAACTATCACATAGGAGAAAGAATGTAAACTTTCTTTCAAAAAAAGGATGGACAGTTTGGAGGCCTTTCAAAATCTCAAACATTGTTACGTGCAATGTTATTGAGACTGAATTTACTGACCTAATTCACTATAACTTTTGAATTGATTGAGATGATCCAATGGTTTCACTGAAGTCATATCGTTATGTCAATAAATTAATTCAAATTTTTAAGTCCAAATAAAATTACTCGGTTGTTATACAGGATGTACATAACAGAGAGATAAAGAAAGGCTAATATCAACAAAACAATACACAATATAACTGTGAGTAATTGTGAAGGAAACGCATACTTAATGGTACGATTACTATTTAGAAAAGAATAATACCAAGAAACATGAACAGAAAAGCAACAGAAATCAACCTCATATGGCCCATCCATGTCACCTCAATAGGTTAATGATGTAAACTTGATCTTCCTCCACTCTCTACTCTCTACTATTCCTTTAACCTTCACCTATAATCTGTTTTTGCCATATTTAGCAAACAAAAAGTTAATCAACCCTCAAAGGTTTCTGTTTATGTCGATCGATAGAGGGAAAGAATTGGCAGAGGGATCATCAAGATCCCCAAGTGATCAACCAACACCGAGCAGGTATGAGTCACAGAAGAGAAGGGACTGGAACACTTTTGGCCAGTACTTGAAAAACCAGAGGCCTCCTATCTCACTATCACAGTGCAATAGCAGCCATGTTCTCGATTTCCTTCGATATATGGATCAGTTTGGCAAGACTAAAGTTCACTTGCAAGGTTGCATATTTTATGGGCAGCCCGAACCGCCAGCTCCTTGTACTTGCCCATTGAGACAAGCTTGGGGGAGTCTTGATGCACTCATCGGAAGGCTTCGAGCTGCCTACGAAGAGAATGGAGGCTCACCTGAGACAAACCCTTTTGCTAGCGGTGTGATTCGTGTTTTTCTGAGGGAAGTCAAAGACTGTCAAGCCAAGGCGAGAGGTATTCCGTACAAGAAGAAGAAGAAGAAGCAGACAGACCAAAGCAAGGAAGATGATGAATCAAATTCTACGATGAACTATTGATTCTTGTGGCGGCTGTGTGAATTATGGTAATTTTGCTGCATTTTCTTTGGTTGAGTAGATTTACTTTGAACTTGGTTAGCCCCGGCATTTTTCATAAACATGATGAAATTCAAATCAGATGAAAGAATCAATTGTATGTAAAATTAATATACAATATTTTGAAGACCCCCAAATGGTGAAGAATAATGGTTTTTGGTCAACAGTATATCTTCTAGGAGAACTGAACATTTGATTTTCAGTGGTTGTAGATCAATCTCTTTCCCTTAATGATGCTAAACCCTAGCTGAAAACTACGCACAAAAATAAAAGACTCTAAATTGCAAAATGACTTTGAGCTTGAAAATGAATTCCAGAGATATTATGGTCTGTGACTTCATCCAAGCAACTGTAAGCCTCCAATACATCAAAAGCAATGATGAACTTGTAGTCCTTTGCATCTTCCAACCTGAAAAAATGGAGCTTGCAGTGATATTAGGAAGTAACTCTCTTTCTCTCTCTCTCTCTCTATCTCTCTCTCACACACATCCGTATTTCCTATACTTCAGTACATCTCAATTATATGAACTTGTAGTTAGTTTGTGCCCTTTTGGGATTCTGTAGATTTTCTGCCCCCACATATAAATATCGCCAGGTAACAGACACTTGTCCTTGTTAGTGTCTATTCTTGGAGCAGATATGCTATAAATTAAGGTTCCTTTTCATATATACCGAAAATATAGATACTTTAAGCCCATGCAATGCTTCTTTTGTATGACCTTCCACGTTAAATTTTTGTAAAACAATAGATATAATCATTACAAATCTTCCAGATGTACGAGGAACCAAAATTGCGGATTAAATCATTTGATTTGTTATTTACAGCAACCCTATTTCAATTTCATATTATATTAAAGCCCCGCTTCAAAATCGTACTGCTTTATTTTTTTTATTACATGAGATCTTTGAAAGGGGCCCTTTCCAAATCTGCACCTCTATATGCCCTTGTTTTTTTTTTACCTTTACTAGATTGCTCGTTGTCTGCATTAGATTTTGTGGGACATTATATTTATTCCATTTTCTGCTTATGCCTTGGTTTTGTACTCAGAAATCTACTGTAAGATTACTTGATTGGGGGGTGACAAAATTACTCATTGTTTTTTGTCAAAAAAATAGCATAAAATTCCATTGAACGAACTGGTTTTTTTTCCCTTTCTAATGATTTGCTCAATCTACATGTTAAAAAAAAAAAAAAGAAGAAGCTTATGATAGCTTATCTGAATCTAATTTCATGTGTCTTGGGTTAGGATGTTGTGTAAAGTTGGATAAACTAGTTTTATGTATTTAATAGATTCTTATTGAAGACTATTATTGATGCAGTGATAATGAATACAAAGAAATCACATTTATCTAGAAGAACCATCCCTAAATACCCTGAACCCCAACAAAGTAATACAAGACAAAACCTTGAATCCACAAGAAAGAGTAAAAGAAGATTTTTTGCCAGTTTTAGTGGATAATTGTTAAAGGTTGCTCAATACTTGAAACTAGTTTATCCAACTTATTTTGACTCCTTAATACACCTTTTAATACAGCAACCAAACGACCCCGAAGAGTTTATATAATACACCAAAACATTAATCCTCCCTAATTAAAAATAAAAGCCTAATTAAGTAAAAAAAACCAGATATGAAAATTTTTAATCTAACCAAATGAAAAACAAAACGTATCTTTTCAAGACTCTAGGATATAGGATGGTTTGCTAAAATTAAATCTGAATATGACTAATTTGAATGCCTGAAAATGTAATTCTTCCAAAATTTGGCTTAGATTATGACAAAGCCATGTGTTTTATTCCTTGGATAGTTTCTAATCAGATGACACTGGTCTCACTCTAATTTGACTTCATCGTCCATTTTGCCTTTAGTATCACTTTGCAACTTTTGGACGAGTCACAATCTTCTCCCACCAAGAAATCTGATGCGACTTGTTCCACATCAAATATTGCTAAAGTAGATTTTTGAGCTGTTATCATGAACCTTTGAAGCCAAATAGTAGGTGGATATACAAGGTGACACACTTAAAACAATATATGGTAGCTTGAGTCAAGTGTTCAACTGAACCACACTTCCTTAGCTGTAAGAAATCAAAACCAAAGTGTACGCAAAGGAATACGTATTTACTATAGAATAATATACTAATAGACCTCTACATCCACGAGAGAGATGAGGCTTTTTTCATAAAGTATTCATCTAGGGATGTAAAATTCTTTGCTTGAAGATTGAACCAATCTCATTTCTTGTAACAAAGATTTTGGAGAGATTCAATACAGTGCATAAATTCAATCATAAGTAGAAATGTGGCGAAAGATCATGTAGTGAGCGGTATGCCTTTGAGTAAAAGTGTTGATTTGTGAATCTCTTTGCTGATTGAAGGAAGTTTTGTTGGTCAATATGAAATCAGTGTAGTAAGTCAATTATTATCAAACTTAGATTCCCTCAAGACACCATTATGTGCTTCTGGTATGCTCCAAGGTGTAAAATTTTTCTTTGGAAATCAGTTTGTAAGAGAAAAGTGTCAAAAAGTTGATAAATACATTTAAGTTGATATATAATTAACTAATGTGGGATCATAACAGTTTATGTGTGTTGGGTCGTATAGGGTAGGTATTATCGTACACCTTTGTTGTGGAGAATGGATTTCTTTATAGAAGGCAATACATGGTATATCAATCGGAAACTTTATTAGCAAGGGATCAGAGAATTGGTGTCGTATTTAGAGTAATCTACCCCTAATTATAGTCACTCTTAAAAAATAGACTTGATAATTATAACTACTGATTTCACTGTAAGTCCCAACATTTATTAGAATCAGCTACCTATTCAATAATTGTGATTATGAAGTCTAGTTTTTATATCTAATTTTTAAATCCATGTAGTATTACTCTTTTTCTAATTGTTGCTTCCCTTTTAACAGGTCTATATTTCCTTCTGGAATCTACTAATTTAACTTAGAAGATCATAAGATCTCTAGCTCCTTTGTTTAGAATCCTTTGCGTCTGACCTCGTCACCACTTGTGCACCGACTTTGTCACACCAAGCTCAACTAACCGGGTTCCATCTCCCACTTTGAAAAGTATAAAGTCGGTCAAGCATAGTATTACTACAAAAGCCCTCATAATAAAGTTACAACCACAAAATATAGTGTCCTTACAATAGTGGACTGTTCTACTTCGATATAACTATAGATTCAGATCGTGTTTAGTACATTCTATCTCATTTTTTTCAATAGTAGACATCCGAAACGAATCAATTGTCTGAAAATTTACTGAAGTGGATCCAAGTCCTATTGATTGATGAAAGTCTTGGAGTCATATACCTTAGATTTAGCTAACAAACATGAATCTATACGCATGCATTTTCGCTGAGTGTTTTAGTTTACAAAATATGTACAATCATCAATACAATAAGGGATGTAGTTTTATTGAGAAAACCCAATAGGTTACAAGTTCCCTAAAATATGTGGAGTGACAGGTTGTCATACACATGCTTGCACTTTTTTTGGTAAGTAGATGCATTAGTTTCCGAAAAAATGAGAATATAAAGCCAAACAACGAATATGATAGCTCTACACGTACCAGCTCACCTACTCTACTAAGAAGGCATTACACTCACAACTCAAGAGACTAGGTACACAAATTTAAATTATCCTTTTGGATGGCATTCAAAAATGAACTCTTGATGTGAAACTTTGGTTTGTAAGTCATAAATACAAATTTTCATTTACCTTTCAACTTTCTTCAGCCTATCTAAACTGGTTAGAACCCTAATAATGATTTTCATTTGTCACACGAAGTTGAAATTATCTTGAAGCAACCCCATTCACACTTTACTGTGATAGAATAATATTCCGACCAAGCTTTTTATGCAAATTAAATGCATTCTCGAAAGAGGTATACTGTTCTTGCAGTAATACTATACTAACCAAATTTGGGGCTCAAATGACATGACAATTGACTTGAGCTTCTTTATTCAGTGTCATGTCATTTGGACTCCAATAAAAACTTCAAATAATATGCTGTTATTTGAAATAAACAAGAGGTTGTGTACTGTAAATGGAAGCTATCTTTTCTAGGGGAAATTTAAATGTGGTGTAGGGGCACTCTGAAAGTCGCCCTTTCATGTTCTTGCTCATCTAAAGAGAAGGCTTTTGAACGCTCCCTGGAGATGAGATCATTCCATTTGCTTATAGCAGTATTCTAAAAATTAATTGGTTCGTATTCTTACAATGAATGCTGAAGGGTTGCTATATATTCTGAGTAGTCTATTGTTTGTTGCAGGATCATGCAACAGATTGAAGGGATTGTAGGAAAAATGGAAATAATCTATTGATGTTGCAGTTTTTGATCGGACTATTGCATTTTCTTTTTTGTTTGTAGCAAAAGTTGTGGGTTTTCATCAAAATAATCATTTCAGGGCGTCCTGGTTTTCGGGGGTCATCTCGGCCAGTTGGGAATTTGTAAGTTCTTGTTATAACACTAGCTTTCGTGTATGCGATGCTTGATTGCTTACTTGTTCTCTCGGACTATATTTGTAATTAGTTTTTATATGTACCATTTCATTTGTGTCTTTTTTTCGGTAATTTAAGTAAAAAGTGATGTTACATTGACCAAATTTTGGGACCAAATCAAGAATCCAAATAACATGACAGCTGACTTGAACTTTTTTATTTGGTGTCATGTCATTTGGGTCCCAATAAAAATTTCAAATAATGTGCTGCCATATCATTTGAGCTCTTAATTTGATCCACAAATTTGATCAGCATATCATTACTGTTAAGTAAATGATTTAATTAACTGAAAGAGAGTTGGTGTAGACAGATCATCTATTCTTAAGGTAGATCATCTGTGTCAATATCCCCAATACCATAAGAAATCAGCTATGTAATTTTTTTTAACGACATACTGTCTGATAAATGCAAGGGTTAAAAATCAACCAAGTTTAGATGTTTTATAATTGCTGGTG